CATAAATCCAGATAAGCAAGCATTTTAGAGTCGGTATAGAGTAGTGCAAAGGGAGCGGGTGGTGAAGACCAAAACTATTTTCAACTCTCTGGCTCTATTTAAAACTCTGAAGAACATGTCATTCCTGTATTCCTGGCTGGGTTACATGCAAGGGCAGCAACGAGTGCCAGAAGTACACTGGAGGTGCTTAAAGTTCGTATGCTGACATAAATACGAACTTATAGTATACATACATACACACACACACACACATACACACACACACTGTTAAATTTGGCCTCATGTTCCAGTTGGTGTCTGGTTTTGTCATGACCACCTGGTGCAGATACACAATAAACATGTACACACATGTCAGTTATGTGTGTTATACAGTTTCCAATATATTTGTGAACTGGTTAAATCATAGGAACTCAGGGTTTAGGGGTATATAGGACTGTCTGGTTTAGAGGGACTGCGACTACAACTTTATCACCCTGCAAGACACAGAACTAAAGAGGTTTTCAGTATTTTTTTCACTATTAAACATCCTGCCTCTTCCATTTAGAGTTGTGTCATGCTTTCCGCCGCTTCCCTCTCCACACACACAGTGTCACGTTAAACGTCAGGCAGCAGCAAACACGGCCAGAGTTTCAACTCTGCCACCCAATTTAACACAGCCAACATCTGAAAAACTTGGAAATCAGCCTCATTTCAAATGCTAGGAATTCGTCAGCTTCTCACAGTCAGCACTTGATAAAAGTAATTTTGTTTTAATTTTAGATTTTTTTTTTTTCTTTTTGAGTTGTGTCAACAAACCCAACTGTGTAGACTAATGTCGGGAAATGCTAATCGCAAATGGAAAAAAAATAAAAGTGGCATTCATGGAATTTAAACACAGACAGGGCACATATTATTATTCCTCACATTTACATCTGGTTCTCGAATTGTATCAGAAACACAGACAGAAAACCTTTGATTTGGTCTGTGTATATCCACATGTGAAGCCGTCTTGCCACACAGACCACTGTTCGGCACAGAAATACAGCTCAGGCTACACAACACTGCCGCTTTCTGACACAAGTCCTCGCTGGGTCACTGCTTTTATGATTAAGACCGTTTTTTATTACCATTACAGAACGTCCTTTCAAATGAAGCCAGTTTTATGAACAGGGAAACCCCTAATTTAATGTGATTCTTCAGTTTTCCTAGCTGAGCACACTCTTTTCATAATGCTTTCTCATGGTTTCAAATATTGCATACGTGAGGGAAAACTTAAGAGGAGAATGTGAAGTGAATATCAACTTTACACAAAGGATTTATTGACATACACTTGTTTATTTCCTGGATATTTATTTATTTTTCAATGTTCTTGTCTGTTTTAGGCCTGTCTGAGCAGATGAAAGAAAAACTAAGAATGTGTGTATTCCTGCACTGAATACGGTTGTGTTTGTTTTTATCTAGATAAATATGTGTGTGGCGGAGTTGGCAGCACCTTGTCCTTATGTTTAACAGGTCACGCGTGTTTTTTTTGAAGGGTAATTAACCCATTATGGGATCTGGTGAAGCCTGATCCACCCGGTCTGCAGACATCAAACAGGAACTGCGGCGGCTGGGTCTAGACAGGTGAAAGCTGGGCGTTCAGTAACCTAAGAAGGCCAAAAACATAATAGTGACTACTCTATGGCATGGACCTCTGCTTTAGTTTACAGTGTTTGTGCTTGACCTCCTTGTTCACTCTGAGTGTCCATTTCCACAACAAAAGCCTACCAGGTTGTGTGTGATTATACAGATACACCGCTGAGAAATGTGTAGTGAAATGTAACACTGACCGACTGGGCAATTGGGCCGGGTGTGGGTTTCCTGTTTAACAAAAGGCCTGAATTTACCAAGAGTACACAACTGGGACTTGTGGAATATGCCTCTGCACAAAAAATGCATTAAAAGATAGAAATATGTTTTATTCAAATAGCTTAAAATATGTTTTCCGTTTAAGTAAATTTGCAGAACTGACATTGCTGCATTTCACTTTAGCCGAGGTACGGTCAACATCTTGGATATGCTATCTGGGAACACCCAAAAAAAGAAACTCATTGAAATGTAAAAAAAAAAATAAATAGATGAAGGTTTTACCAAGATCTAAATAAATGCAGATGTTGAGACAGAATTTTACACTATTCAGATTTTTTGGAAACATAAAAGTGAAGTTAAAAGTTCAAAGCTACCAATGTTTCATGCTCTGACAGCCATGCTGTCAAAACCGGCAACTTTTATCCTTCTCCATAAATTACAGATTTTTGCATCATAGCTTCGGGTGTGCGACTGACTTTTTAGGGCAGTTGATGGAAATTCCCATAACAAGCCAGACAAGTATAATTCTGGGAAAGGCTGGAAAAGGAGGCCGGAGATGTTGCCACGTCACATTAAGAGCTTAGAGGTGCTAAAATATGTTCCACACATTCCCATAGGGACAGAGACGAGTGATTCATGCTGAGGACACATATCAGCCTCGACAATGAACAAAGGGTCTCCTGAGACGGAAGCTTCTGTGTTTGAAGTATTCACTAATGCTAATGAAAGGAATTGCATAATTCAAGCAAATTGGACACAGTGATTAGTCACAGAAAATCTGGCTTTGTTTTGTACAAACACCAACAGATCTCTTTTTTTTTTATTTTTTTTTTTTTATTTAATTTTATGGGCCAGAATTATAGAGTATTCAACATGTACGGGACATGTGTGGAGCTGCTTCTTAGTATTTTGGAGTTTGTTCCTCAACCTCCACACATCAGCTTTTAAACTGTCATGTGTCAGATGAGTTTGAAACTATCAGTACTGTAGCTGTGGCTCCAATTTTGACGAAGGGCTGCTCACGTTTAGCAACGCAATCAGACTGATTTCCTGGTTTTCACAAGCACTTTTGAAGTGCACAACAACACCTCTACATGACCTCGAGCCAACAACTTCAAATGAACGTGACTCAATCAACAGCTTCCACGAAAACACAAAAGCTATCAACAGGAAGACTCTCAGACGTTGTCGAGGAGAACTGACAAGATGAACTCCTGCAGAGTGGGCCGCGCTGCTTTAACAGTTATTTATTCCTCTTTTCAATTCAAAGGTCCTTCTGTTTTAAATGGACAGCATTAAGGGGAACCGGCACTGAGGTCTGTCCTTGGAGGCACGGTCCAAATTCCAGAGAATCTTGGCAATTCCTCGGGATAGATGGGACCCTCATGGATATAAAACCCCACAATGGATGAATAGGTAAACAGAAGGGTGTGAAAGAGTGATGGCGAAAAGAGAATGTTCACTCTCAGAGAGACACAAAGAGGGAGGTGTGTGAGTGGGAGATGGGCGAAAGCCAGGGTGCTTGGGGGAAGAGAGGGGGTGAGTCAGAAGGGTATGAAGGGAGTTGTCGGTGAGCGAGAGTAAAAGTTTTGTCTCCAGGCTTTTGGTGGGTGCTGTGTGTAGTGTTAACTCAATCAAAAGGTGAATTATACCTCCTGAGACACTCAGGTAACCTTTCATTATGGCCCTAATCCTTCTTAATAACAGAGCTGCAATGTCGGCAATGCCCCATTAGACAGAGAACCACTGAAAGGGAGAGCCATTATTCCCCACAGGCCTGTGGAAATGTGAACACACAACACTCACTCACACACTCGCGGTGACAGATGAAATCAATCACAAATTCGACTTGAGCGAGGAAAATGCAGCGCACTCCTCCATGAGGACACTGGGAATTTGAAGGAGAGTAAATGTGTGTTTATGTGGGAACAGAGTTTGTCTGAAGTTTCACTTTTGTTAGCAAAACAGAAACTGATTCTATAAAAGCAAATTCAGACTGAACTGCCTCTTGAGAATAAACAGTTTACAAGGCTGCAAACTTATTTCCCCCCTAAAAGTTAATTAAAAAACACACCTTTTGAAGCAATAAAAGATTTGATGTACTAAATTACAATGTCAGTACAATTTATTCTTAATGCCATAAACACTGTTGGAAATCTATATTGTTTTAATTTATCTGCAGTAAAATATTACCATTTAAATTCCTGTTTATGAAGTGTTTTGTACTTTCTTCTCTTTGTACTTTGTAATTTCTCAATCTCTATCTAAGCATTAAGTTAAGCTCCCGTATATTTTTCTGAAACTTGCCAGAAAAAAAGTGCAGATTTGCAGCAGGTTAAAAATACACAAACTCTGTTAATAATTAAATTATTAAATTATAACAGCAAATGTGATTACGGTCTTAGTTAGATAAAACATGTGAGTTAAATAAAATGCATTAAATCTTACAAAAAACTTTTGAAAAAGTTATGTAGGAAGTGAAGACTTATGTTTAGACATTAGTTTTTTCAGCAAAGTCCTATACTTGAGATAAAGTTACATTAAAATGTTTAGAAAAAACTGAACTGAAACTTGTCTGAAGTTTCACAAGCAGATACAGTTATATGAGGCATTAATTCTTCCATAGAGAAAATGCAAATTGCAACTTGTTTAAAATATTAAATACTCTGATTCATCCTTGTCTTATTTTTCAGACTAATCAAGTTGTAAATCGAGATTCCACCATGGCTCTGACCACAGCAACTTAAAGGCAGTCAACCCTGAAATGTGCATCAAAATGAGCAGCCTGATAACATCTAATGAAAGCAGGCCTAATGTAGCGTAATAAATCAACAGGCTGTCCACGGTGCTTCTTCCAGCAGCAATTAGGCTACTTCTATAAAAGTTGAGATGTTAAATAAAGATTCCTGGCTTATGCAGACCAGTCTTTATCAGTGATGTAGTAGCTGGCAAAGTAAAAAGTTGGAAAAACACAATCTATCATCGTGGCAATTTAATGACTAATAACAATAAACTGAAGTTCAGCCTAGATTTTAAGAAGGACATTAATTAATGTATATTTAATACCAATTTCTACAGTAATGTCAGTTTGATAATATGAATTTGAATTAATGCAAAAAAATGATGTTGGTTAACTCTAAGTTAACATTATCAATGTAATATTAACTGTTCACCTGTACCACTCCAGTCCGTTCTCATAGTTGCGGTCGAAGAAGTGCGGCTCCGCTCCCACTGCTCTGATATCTGGATGAACCCGGAGAAACTCCAGCAGAGCCCGGGTCCCTCCTTTCTTCACCCCGATGATGAGAGCCTGGGGCAGCTTCTTGCTCCCCTCCCCGAGCGGACTGAGTTTACCTGCGAACCTCGGCGATACTTTCCTGGAAGCAACTAAATCCGGAGGCGGCAAGATGTAAGACTCCTCGGGCAGCTCCAAAACCTGGCTCGCGCGCTCATCCGCGAGGACCAGCGAGGAGCGCCGGACGGCCCCGTAGCCCATCAGCTCAGAGCCGGCGGTCCATTCGTACACCAGTCTCTTGGTCCGCAACGACCTCAAGTCCTCGAAAAGCCCAGCAGCCCGGCCGGAGGCGGCTTTGACCGGTGAGGGCGAGGTGGTGCTGCTGCGGTCGGCGAGGCAGTGCAGGAGGAACAGAGAGGTGAGGAGGGAGCAAAGCATGACCGCCGCTTTCCTAAAGATGCCTCGGGATGGGGGGTCCAGTTTACTGATGCGGCTAAAAGCCATACCGGTCCCTGGGTGGTCGGTGCAGGAGCCACAGCCATGCTAGGCACACATTGTTGAGTCCTCTTGCCATGAAGAAACCAAAGAGTGAATCTTCATCCACAATATGCTGTGGAAAACACCTCAGTCTCCACCAAGAAAAAAAAGCCAAATGATACCTGCTGCATACAGGTGAGAAAGAGCTAAGCCCCAAACTGAAAACTGCCAGAGTAATATGCGTACGGGTGCTTGTCAACAGTGTTCAACAGTGATATGCACTCAGGTAATGAAGTCTTTTCTTCCCTTGCTCTGTGTAGGATGCCACCACTAGCCCTGATGTACCAACCGCACGTGTATAGAGTTGTAAACTTGTCTCGCATGTCAGGTTGCTTGACAGGCACCTTTCTGGCCAATGAGATGAAGAGAGAAGCAGACAGGAGCCAATGATTTTCCAGGTAGGCGGGGACGCTGACACAGCCCATCTCAGCCAAATTAGAGGGAATCTTCATGTACACAATAAGGTTGTAATTAAATAATGTAGAAAGAAACATGACAGATACAATTGCAAATTTGCAAAAATACAGACAAACACAAATTTCTATGCATTTTATTTGTTTATTTAATCCTTTATTTAAACAGTAGCATATTTTCCTTGAGATTTTCAACCAAGACCTGTACACAGGAATGAACATATTCATTACAAGCACAAACAAACACACTGAAATTCACAACAACAAACATTATTATACAAAAGTATGCTCCTAAAGGCTAGAACTCACACACACACACACTACACAGACAAATAGAAGCTGCCGTCATGCTTGCAGGGGTAATTTTAGAGATATGTTTGTTTAGTGCACCATCCCCAAAATTTTCCACTGTCGCAGCATGTTTAGAGACGCCAGAATCATTCCTCAGATCTTCACAACCCTCGCGAGACCATTTTCTGCCACTGAGAGCGGCCATATGCAGCTAAAGTCAGGCCACCAAAGAAGATGGCCTCCGCCATGAACTCCTTTTTTATGACACATAGAGGGACAAAAAAAGTGAAATAATGATAACGGGGCACATTATTTCTTTACAAGTGAACAAGAACAGAACCAAATGTTTCACATCTGCTCCTGCCTTTTTGGGTATTAGCATGAGAATATGCAGGCAGTGCTTCAATGCTGCACAGCTCACTGCTCGAGAAAGAGGATGGAGACCTTAACACTGGGCTGTATTGCCAGTGCCAGATGTCCCCCCGTGTTGTCGAGACAATACAAGGGGGTGTCCCGCATTTAACAAATCACACCCCGTGTCTTTTCTCTGTCTCCCTGACACTGGAGAGATGCTCAACCCCCTCAAACAACTGTGATGACACCCACCATTCCCTCACAGAGGTCAAATGGCTTCACACTCCTTCTTATCATACTAATAAATAAAAAGTCATGTTCTCTTTCTTTTCATGACAAAATAAATGTTGAAATTTTCCAGAATTACTGTTAGCACACTTTATTTATTTATTTATTTATTATTTTTTTACACAGTTATGAGAGGGGCAGCATAACAGCATAGTGGTTCCCAACCTGTCGGCTGGACCTCATAAAAAGAGGTCACAAGAAAAATCTGAGTGGTCAGACATGATTAACGTGAAGCAAGAGAATGCAAAAAACATTTCTTCCACTTCTCTAGGTTTACGTTTGATGTGAAGTAGTGGATATTTTTACAGAGAGGTGGAAGACATACTTGGATCATTTACTGTAGTAAAAGTTGTAATGTCACAGTATAAAAACACACAGTTACAAGAAAAAGCCCTGCATTGAACTTGTTATGTAAGCAGTGGTGGAGGTAGTACGCAGATCCTTTACTTACACGATGCTTAACTAAAATTACACAAGTTTGATATTATCAGCAAAATATAAAAAGAGCATAATTGTTAAAAGTACTCATAATGCAGAAAATTGCCCCGTATTATATTATCAGATTATTAACCTTGATGCATTAATGTGTAAGAAGCATTTTAATCTTGTAGTTGGCCTACTTTATATGCAGTTGGGTACTTTAATCTTGTATCATATTTCATAAAAAGATCACCTGCTTTGAATGGCAAACTTTGATCTGTAAAAGTAATTTAAATTGTTTACACTGAGTCCATTGACCTCTGAAATGTAGTGGATTAGATGTATAAAAAGCATAAAATAAAAACGCCTGAGTGAAGTATAAGTAGCTCAAAAGTGAGCCTACTTGAGTAACAGTATTAAGTTACTTTCCACTCCTAATTTGACCCTTTAAGGCCACTCAGAATGATTTAAATGAAGTAAAGTGAGAAAGAAAAATCACTTTGGCTCAACAGCTCACAACTCATAGATATATTAAATCTAAGTCAAGGGGTCAGACATTGCTTCATTTTAAGGGGACATAGTTTCAGCCAGAAAAATTGGACACCGCTGATAAAGACCATTGATTAGTTTAATAGCACTGTTGTGCTCAGTGGCGTCTGAGCAGGGACTCTAAATCTGGGGTGTGCCTTGTACAATGTACCCATTTTCAGTCAGGCTTAATGTTTGTGCAGCGACACATACTTCCTTTAAAAAAAAAAAAAAAAAAAAAAAACAGCATTTAGTGTGTAATTACACACCCAGACATTGGTGCTTTTAGAAAAATGTGCAAGCAGTCTAGAAGGCATGTAAAAACGTAATTCGGCTTTCATCTTCACCATTTATCCAAATTGCAGCACTATGGTTACACTGACGCAGCCGTTTTGGAATCTTGGAATACAGAGTCGAGGTTTTAAGTTTAAAGGGAGAACAAACATAAACTGTTTATTATCGTTTGAATATAATGTTGCATTTACTTTGCATATTGAATAAATTCTCAGGGCATGCCATGGGAAAGAAAGCGTGTGCCAAGGCGAAGCCAAATAAAGAATGTCTGAATTATCTGAGTCTGATTGTTTTTTTCATAGGAATGTATGAACCATACCTAGGCTTGTGCATTAGCTCTCTCAAATGCACCATCAACAGTGAGAATATAGTCAAGCAGAAACTGTTTCCACTGCTGAGCTGGCCAAGTAGTTAGACTGTGTGTCTCAGCCATGCACATAATCTCTAGACAGGTTTATGAACTGAGGTTTGGGAGCTGTCAGTTTGGAGGAGACATCTTTACTGCCAATATTATGGCTTTACGTTTCTCAACCTGAAATCTATGGCGATAAAATCCTGCCTTTTTTTTATTTTCAGGACAATATTCATCTTCAACTTTGGACAACCAGCCTTTTTTAATGGTGTATAAATTTAATAAGTTGCTAAAAACTTTACTGAACATATATATTAAAATGTTGTCAAATACGTACAATTCTCCATGGGGCAAACATGGTTAGAAACAGATGCAGCTAGTAAAAAAAAAAAAGATTTACACATGGAAATTGTATGTTTATAATTTATGGCATGTTCCATGCTTGAACTGTGATCAGCGTCACAAATTTCCACACAAGCTGAGCTCCTTGGCTCCAGAGGTTCGTCTCTTAAAGCCATCTCATTTTGAGTAAAATTGAAATGGCACTGCCCACTTAAAAGCTAAATTAGGTACGTTAGTAAGAATATGAGAAACCCAAAAATATACTTCAGTACCACCCAGATGGCTTTGAACCTATTTAATTAAAAATATATTTTCATACAATGCTACAATTAGATAGAAAAGGTAAAATCTCCTTCTTGAACACTGTACTTGCACATATGTATATGGTGTGTGAGCGGTGACTCAGTGTTTTACTGAAACAGGGTGTTTTTTTTCACTGCGAGAGGAAATGTACTCGTTCTATATACACAGCTGTTGGCCATTCATCGAGGTTGGGTTCTTCAGCTTCATTGGCAGGCCGTGCGCTCAACAGGAAGGGTTTCTATTGAGCACGGAAACCCAAATAAATTGTGCTCTTAATCAGATTAATGCTCATCTGAAGTGGGCTGTTTCTCTAAATAGTCTCAAAATGTCTACATGCAACCAGTTTGAATGAAGCACACAAGCGATTATACTCCATTCATCAATGCTTTATCATCAGAGTTTTGTTTGAGAAGGAGGGCACAGGGCATGATAAGAGGTTTTCTGGCTTTTTTTTTTAAATGGGATTGTGTTGTGATTCAATTTGTTTTAATAGCTACAAATACAAATCTACAGAAGATTTATCAAAAATCTGATTATATACATGTAACAATATTTTCAAAGGAAAGATAGAAGCAGAATTAATTTATGGATGGTACATGAAAGCACATGAATTCACTGAAGATTAAACAATCGTCTTTTGCATGTGTGATGCCAAAGCATGTGTCGTTGTCTCTGAAATGATTTACACAGAGGCTTGTGTGTGGTGTGTTACACTTTGTGTCACATTCCTTCCTCCAAGAGGCAGCAGGATGCAGCTGATTATGAGCCAGGCAGGAGGGGTGGGGAGGAAGGCACTGTTCATGTTGGAAGGTTGTGTGGCTGCATGTCCATCACTGTAGGCTAGTAATCAGGTTTACGCACAAGATGGTGCGGGCACAAAAAGGTTAATGGCGTATATGGCTGGCTATGATGTATCGCAAACAGAACAACAATTGTCCAGATTAATTTCCTAATGCAGTCGGCACTACAGGAAAATACTGTTATGGTGACTCTGAGTGAAGCCAAGGTATGAAATTCAACCTTTTAATGCTCCACATGGGATATTTTACGAGAGAGCTAAAAATCTGGATTATTTTAACATGAAATAAATATTTACTTAAAGCCCCTGGACACTTGCTTTCAAATCTTAAGTATTTCTCTGTAACATTAAATATTCATGACTAAATAAGTTGAAGTTCAGAGAAAAATAACAACAAATTTGCTTCATCAGGGCTGTGTGGGTGTGGGTGTGGGTGTGGCCTCACAGCCAAGCAACCGATCCCAACAAGTGTCATCAGATTTTAAATCAAATATAGATAAATCTGACAATATTTTTCCAACTGAGCAATGTCCACTTTAAACCAGTGAAAAGAGCATGGACAAAAATACAAATATAAAAAATGGTCTAACAATGGTAGTAAATTGTGTTAATGAAGGAAAGAAACTGATTCAGTAAATATGCTTTAAAGATATAATATGTAACTATTCTGCATTAAAATGTCTAAAAGTGATAAGAACTGTGTTATATATTTTGTTGAGTTGTGGACTTACATTTTCTCAAATATTACAAGCAATTCTGAAACCTTAAGAACTGTTTTGTTATTGCTACATAGATAGCGTTAGCATTAACAGCGCTGCTCAGAGGGCGTATTATAACTTCTTGTTGTAAATGCAACAATGCCCAAAGCTCTTATCAAGTTACAATCATCACCACCCGCTC